GGCTCACAGCAGCAGAACCTCCACTATAGAAGTACAATCCTCCATTTGACTCACAGAAGTCCCTCTGAAACAAAGCAGGCAGAGAGTTTGTTCAAAAGCAGAAGAACAAGACGTCTCTTCATGCTGCTCGGATGGAAATCAGAGGACTGACTGAGCTGAGACCCACCATTGTTGTCATCAGAGTCCGTCGCCCCATTGTTGTGGATTCGCTTCAGTTCATTGTACTTCATCTCCACGTCCTGGAGGCACATAAGGAAAACAAAACAGTTTGTTCGGCAGGTCAAGAAAAACAAATGCACCTTTTGTCACTGTGATAAGAACACAGAATAAAAAGCCATTAAAGGAAAGTCCGTTCATATTCAGAATTCAAACTTCTGAAAGTATTTTAAATATGAAATTATTACATATTGTTCAATAAATGTTTTTAATTAAGAGTAATTTTCATTTAAATGTGCTTCAAGCCGGGCGTGCACTGTATCATTTTTTTGCCCTTTTCAGGCCGACTTTCAGCCTGATGGTGCGTAGTGTACAGGGGGTAACGAGGGGCCATCAGCCTCTAACGACCACTTCGTCATCAGGAATCGTAAGGTCAGGGGAAAATCAAACATGTTTGATTTTCAGTCGGCTGTCATAAGGCAGCAAAGTAAATTATAATAAAACTAAAATGCTTTCTTTAAACCAAACTACAATGTTCCTCTTATATTTGGCGAATTTATGTTTGAATATTTTGCAAAACCATTTTGCAGTGCATGACGGGGTTTTGCATCTAAAGATTAGCGTTTCCCGTCTTACATGCATTGTTGCCAGGTTGGGATGGCAGTTTAGGACGGCCGTCTATGGGGAAAAAATGTTTTTCTTTAGATAGATTTCTTTAGATTGGATCAAATTGGGCGAGATTTCCTATATCCAGGGGGTTTTTGAATTTTTTTTTGGGCTGGAAAAGAGTCAATGACATCTGGAAACCCTGCTGGATGTTACGCAGCAGCAGTCACTGTGGCGTCCGTGTTATTTAACAAAGTAGGTAAAACCGCATTATAGAAGTCTTGGTGATGGTTGTCGTGTGATTCTTGGCGATAGATCGGTTAATCCACAATGTGTATTCGTGGTGTGTTTCACATTTGAGATGCACGAGTTTGACTGTGCTTCCATTTTGTTTGCTTTTTTTTTTTATGGGGGTGGCATAATTGAACCGGAGCAGATGGAAAAAAGCCAGGGCTGAAAAACGTTCCCAGTCTGAGCCTCCCTCGTACTGTTCCAATTCACAACAACAAGACCACCAAGATTGGACAAAGTCCACGGACGTTGTCCTCGTCCCTCCCTCTTTACCCAGCATGCATCAGAGCAGACTTGTCTGTGTCGCTACCCAATCCGTACCGGTAGCACGATCCGTACCATCAGGTCATTTGCGCCTGCGCGAACAGAATAACTTTCGGGTCGCCAAAAAATAATGTAATTACGGTACTGAAAAATCTTTATTTATATCCTTAAATAATTAAAGAATACTAAACTACATCGTAAAGACAATATTGAAGACTTTTCTGGAAGAAATGGATGCTTTTTAAATTCAATCTATTGTATTGCTTGACGTCATTTCTCCGGAATAAAAATCCCAATTTTCAGGAAATGTTCCCTTAATAAT